AAGTTCTTCATAAAATACTATGTAATTACTTATATAAATTACTCAATAAAGATACGAGCAAGGCCTCACCTTAATACTTAAAAAAAAAAAATAATAATTTTACATTGTTTTTCTTTAACGTTTTGAATACTATTTATAACGTTTTTTTGATAAAGCCTTTCCACTACACCCAACACACAATGGCTATTTGCTATTTGATGATTGTGGTAAATTTTTATTGCCACACAGAAAACACATCGCAGGAAATATTCTAGCTGAATAGTAGGGTTTTTCAATCGGCAATGCACAACTCCAAGAATCATTTACAAAAACTCGCTGGAAGAGTTCATAGATAGGATCTCCCATGAAAATTTCTTTTGATCTAACTTTGGATTTGTTAGACTTTTCATTATTAATATCTACATCATTAATGTCTTTCTCATCTTCATTGTTATCCTCTTCATTCTCTTCATTGTTATCCACTTCATCCTCTTTATTGTTATCCTCTTCATCCTCACTATTAATATCCTCTTCATCCTCATCATTTATAATTTTGTTATTTATATCCTCTTTGTCACTAATATCTACACTTTCTATATAAGAACAATTAGATCTAGCAATCATATCATTGGCAGAATCATCACTTGGTAGGTTGTTACTTAATTGGTTGTCATTTTGTCAATCATCACTTAGTTGGTTGTCATTTTGGTCATCACTCAGATGATCATTACTTTTATTTTTAATTTCGGCAGTATTGATTGATTTGGTAGATGTGAGATCACAGGTATTATGAAACGACATTCCACATGTGTATAGGATAGTATCAAGAAAAGATTCTAATAACTTGTGTTCTTTTATTTGTAATTTCTTTGTACTAAACAACAGACATGGTTTCTCATATTCAGTACAAACAACTGTTATTCCAATATTTTTTGCACGTGTAGAAGAAGGGCTGAATAGCATGGTATGTTTTATATTAGCTTTTGTTTTACCTGACTTGGTGGTTTGTAATTTAGCATCTCTGAGTGAGGGTCTATATTCCTCTGTTGTGTTGGTGCTATATAATTCTTCAAATGATTTATAGTGAAGGTCTTCACCGAGAATTGGATCAGGAATGTAATGAAGTTGTTTAAATTCCTCCCAGGAATATCAAAGAAGTAAACAAGTCATACATGCATCATTCCTGCACTTCTTAATAGTAAAGGAATAATGTCTTGCTCTACAACAGTGTTCTATGAATTCCTTCAATCGTGGCTACAAAAGGCAAGTATTATTATTTATATTATATGCTGTGACTGATAATGAAAGTAGTGATCTTTTTGAAAATTTAACTATACTAAAACCTACATATGAGTACCACCAAGAGAAAACCTGACAGTGAGGTTTCGTTTACCAAACTCATTCTATCTGATTTTTTAAAAAATTGTGTCTGGTAACTTATAAATGTAAAAGCCTGATGATAGATTTTTCCTTGTCAGCACCCATACTTGCATAATAAAAAAAAATAAAAAAATAAAAGAAAAAAAAAAAAAAAAAAAACATTAAAATGATTTCAACTTTCAATATCAGTCAGTTTTAATATCAACTGCCACATTATATGTGATTATGCGTGAATTTAAAATTATTTTATTTAATCTTTTTGCAATACTTTCTGTTGAGTGATCTTGTTGAGATACATTTTTGTCAATTAGGTGAATTGTTTCCCACAAGTACATGATCTTATTTTCAGTTGCTGCATCAAAAGTTTTAAAAGGTATTTCCTTTAAAGATTGATGCTCAAAAATGCTGCGGATTAGGCAAATCGGTTGTTGGACACTTTCAATAAAGGCATCTTTCAAAGTAGGATCATTTTTTGCTATATGTCAAATTTCTTTCATTGTATTTGCCTTATTTATTAATTTTTCTAATCTGTCATTTATTTCATCTCTCATTAAACTGATATATTGAAGTCCGAGATTTAAGATAGACATTATGCATTTTACAGGATTTTTCCATGAATGTTGAGGTGGTGTTCTTACAGCAATGAAATAGTCTAGATCTAAAGCTAGGAATAAACAAATATATGACAGTTGCATACTCCTAAACGTACAATGATAGTCTGGGCCACCGTCTGTATAAAGACATAACACAGGTTTATTGATATTTTTTTCAAGTAGAATATTGTTTAATTCAGCCGCATGGCACATTGGTGAGGAAGGTTGAAAAATAGTATCTTTTAATCCAATATAAATGTCCCCCGCATAAAAATTACCATTAACCAACTCCAGGAAATCACATATCATTGTAACATTTGGTATTACTCCAGTCTTTGTACAGTCAAACCTCTCTATAATCACCTCCTATATAAGCACATTTTCTTTATAAGCTTGTTTTTTAAAAAACTATCTATTATTAAATATAATAAATTTAACCTCTATAATTAGCACACTTCTCTATAATTATGCTTTTTTGTATCCTGTGGGTGTGACTATAGAGAGGTTTGACTGTATAATCATGATTACTAACCATAAATGTTGATTCTTTACTAACTACAACTTGCTTGCCTCTTTCTATAGCAGCAACTGGATATTTGAGTTCACCAACTTTACATCTATGTTTGTCATCTAGAAATACTAACATTGTAATTTCATGAAATTTTGTAGCAAATTCTTTTTCATACCTAAACAATTCTGAAGTATAATGTGTATCTGGGTGATAGACGCGAAGCTGTCGAATTTGTACCTAATGTTATAAATTGTTAATTTAGTAATTGGTTAATTATTTTTTAGTTGACAACTAATTGATTAGTTGCAACTAGTCGTCAACTAATCAACTATTTGATTTGGATTAGGTCTATTATATGTGACACCTTCTATTTGGCACAGAGAATATGATCAATCACTTGGCATAACAAATAAGAATTTACTATATACAAGTAACCCTCGCTAGGTGGACGATTGTGTCATGTTGACATTCATCGACCGCAGTTACAAATTCTGCTGCTTTTTTTGAAAGAAGTTTAGCCACAACTTCTCAAAAAACATCAAATTTAGTTGGTCTCCCAGGATTATGTTCCTGCAAATCAATTGTAACTACAGGGTTGCCTAACTCAAGAACTAATTTAACTCTCTTATCTATTTTGGCTTCATTTGCAGATTCTGGCGCAGAAGAATCCCCAGTTAATATCCCATAAATAGTATGAAGTGCTGTGGATTTAACTTTTGGTAAAAGTAAAACACATGTATGAAAATAATTAGCTCTTATTGCATGAGTGTGATAGTGAGAAGATTGGGCCTAAAGTTCATTAACTATATTCGTGTTTCATTAGATCATCATTGTTTCATCAGCATATTCATCAATCTTCCAAATTAAAATTGCATTATATGCATTATTTCTAGAGTTAAATCAAAATTCACCGAGTTTAAAGGTAAATGCTCGAGATAGTCCCTGTATATAACGCATTCTTGAACTACAAAATGATTAAAATTAATTATTTACCATGGCAGCTGAAAGTGGTGGATGTTAAATTTAGTGTCTCTATTTGAAAATATAAACCTTTCTAAGTATATATATGGGGAATAGCCTAGGAAAATTACTGTTTGAAAGTATCAAACTGTGGTTTTCATATACTTGCTAGCAAAACCTTTAGAGTTTGGAACTTGGAATTTAAAATTTGGGATAATTTTATTAGTTTTGGGTTGGGATTTAGAACGATTTTATAATGTTTATACTTTTTAAAACTTTAGTTTTGGTAGCAAGTATACATATATCTTTTTATTAACAGCTCTAGTACTAAACTCTAATCTAACTATATATATATAGAGCTATATTGATTACTAACAATTATTAATTTTGGTTTTACTTACACAGGATCTGTTGGTAAATAGTTTTCAATATCAAGTAGCACCCATAAAGGTAAATTCTTGAGTTCATTTTCCAATTAATGATATTTATTTTTGTCATTTGACATTATATGAATATTGCCATTATGAATTTTTATTGTTATGGCCTATTCTATACTTCTAACTGGGGTTATTAATGCATGGTTTTTTGTTGTAATTTCATTTTGCTGTTTTAAAAAGCTAATATAATTTAAAATGATAGCAATTAAGATATTATAGAGTTTACGAAGCCAATCGAATGATGGCTTTAATAACCATTGTGATATTGTATATGATGCGAGAGCCTGACAATGAAGATTTAATTCTGTTGCATTAAAAGGTTTCTGAGATTCCTTATATGACTCTGAGTTAGTATGGCCAAAGAACTTTATAAATAACTCTGGAATATGATAGCTATGTTCCTTAAGTTTTAAGTGATCATACATATCAATATACCAAATTGCTTCACATAAACAACTAACGAATTTTTTTTCTTGTGTATTAGCATCCTTCTTGAAGACCACCCCCACTGTTTTGATGAATCCATTCAATTATATCATTATATAATACTTGTTTTTGATTTAATTTTTTATATTTTAAAATGTTTGGTAGATGTTTTTGTTTTTGGGTTTGCATGAGAATTTCTAATACATTTTAATACGGCGCTGAATAAGAAGGTATAATATCGCTATTTTTAAGATAGTAGTGTATATTTATACCAAATGCTTTAGTTGATTCTATTATTTCACAATAAGGACTAGATTGAATAGTTGTTGCACCTAACTCTCAGCTTAATTCAATACATTCAATTGTTTCAAAGGGGTTTACAGAAATATTGCATTCTGAAGATACTTTACCCGCAACAAGTTTATCAAAAACTCTTTAATAGTCATCTCATATGGAATGGGGTGTACATACTAGCCATGAAGCATTTTTGCCCCTTTTGATATATGTATATTTGCGACTGATATATTTTTGTTAAGTACGATTTTACAAGTATGATATGAAATTGAATTTTTAAACTGACCTTTTTATTTATATTTTTATTTCTTTACAAGGTACATACATTTTATTTTTTATTATAAAACTCAAAATAACAAGCATGAATTTTATTTAATAGTATATAATAATATATAATCAAGTTACTACAAAGAAAAATGTGAAATCTCAATCTGCAAGTAATGTTTCTAATTTCAGATAAGTATTACAAATTTGTTTTTGATGATTGTATTTTTTTTTCTCTCTTAAATTTCAGTTATTGCATTTTTGTTGTATTGAAGTTCATTGATTAAGTTCTATAACCGTCAATGATATCAAGGCTAAATGTACAAAGAATATTTATAACATTGGCAAATCTAATTCCAAAAACAAAAACGATAATTTTTTTATTGCATTTTATCAAGAACATTAAGGCTATAGATTATTCGACATGCATTAATAATATATAAAAATTTTTCATTCTATACTATTTTCATTATAAGAATTTGCAATTTTCTCATTGAAGTTTCATTTGAAAATTTTAAATGGGTGTTACTGTCTTTCTTAGAACTAATAAGCGAATTTAATACAGATTGCAATCATGATTTGGAAAAGAAATAGTTGATCGCCAACTTCATGGACAGATATTTATGATAAAAAAAAATAGGTGTGAGAATGAAAACTTGAAGTTACATTATCGGATGCCAATTATAAAGTATTAAAAGGGATTTATGATAAAAAAAAGGAGACACTAGGACAAAAATTTAAAGTATCTAATGCCAATCCCAAGATGTGGGGAAGATTTATGATAAAAGAAAAATTAATTATGGAATTTGACATCAATTACAAGGTATAGAAATGTATTCACTATAAAGCAAATAGGTGTGTAACAAACCAAAAATTTATTATTATGGTATCTGATGCCAATCCCAAGATACAGGAAAGAATTTATAAAAAAAAAAGACACTGGGACCAAAATTTACAGTTATAGTATATGTATCTAATGCAAGAACCTGTCTTTGCTTGTAATCATGCACATTATTTCAATGTGCATTTGTCCCCAAATTTAAACATTTTTAGAGTTTTTAAAGATTCTCATTGTAGTTTATTACTAAGTATGAATAATCTTCTTTTTGAGTTTGGCACGATTGTTATTTTAGGGTTGGAGAAAGCAGAGATTATACTAAAATTTTGCAAGGATTTTTTTTTTTTATTAGAACATAAAGAGCAGGTTTTTAGATCAGATTTCAATATTTCAATCTTTTGAAAAAAAAAACCAAAAATTTCACATTACACCCGATCTTGCGATCTACATTCAAAATATCACGATGGAAAATAAGGGCGTGTATTTCTAGTTAGGTGACATTGTTAAAGATTTCTTTTTTTGAGTTTTGTATCACCTATTATATTATGTCAAATTCTGCATTTTTATGCAGAATGGCACATACCGTTCAATGGTCAATCTTTGTTTGACCGGTCCAGTCCAAGGTTTAAGTAAATTGGCCAAGTTTTATTGATTACTATATTTTCATGTAATAATGCCCATCTGCGCATTATTAGAGTATATGTGCATTATTTAGAGTATGCTCATGGGCGTTATTTTGAGATAAAGAGTAATTTTGCTAAGCCTAATATTATTTAAGGTTCAAAAAAACAGATTTGTAAGTGGGATGCGTGCAGGGCTGGCAATGGAGTTGAATTTGGTTATGTGAATGGAGCTCAAAAACTAGTATCCATTGGCTCTATTCAGAGTTCCATTAGCTCCATTCGCAGCTCCATTGAGCTCTATTGCCAACCCTGGATACGTGTTATTTAGAGATGCGCATGAGCATTATTTTGAAGCCATATAAGTAATTTTTATTAGCGGGTACAATTTTCTAAATAACGTCCATGCCCATTATTTCACGACAATACGGTATATATTATATTTTTGCAACAAAACTATTGAACTAATAGGCTAAACCATTTGACCAAGACCCTTTAACCATTGATTTGTTGCCCATGATTTGACCATTTTGAATATGTATAATAATGTTTAAATCAATGAATTTCGAGATATTCAGCCATCACAAAAAAGCTTTTTTTTTCTTGTAAACTAATATCTATATATTCACACCATCTCTATGCTTGTAAATAAACTGATAAGGTTTTTTTTTATTCTGTTACCTAATTTGAATTCACAATGAATTCAAAATCTGGTAGCTTAATCATTCAGCAATTACAAAACTTTTCAGATTTTTTATCTGTATCCTTTACTAGTCTTAAGCTTATAAGTTATAGAAAAATTAATATGGTAGTTAAAATTAAGATTGGTGGTGCTGAGATTCTAGAAAATTCTTTTCATTTTTGGGTAGAGATTGGATCATTAAGAAGTCTTTAACAGATATTATTAAATTATTCAGGTTATTCTGGTAATTTATTATATATTTCGAGTAATTACCTATTTTTGGGTTTTAGAGGTATAGTTATTATAAAAGAGCATATATAGATTAGTAAAGCCTGATGCAGTGATGCAAACCTGATATAATTATAAGTTTTGTCAAGTTTCATCATTGACGAAACTTGACGAAACTTGATGAAACTTATAGTTACGTCAGGTTTGCATCACTGCGTTAGGCATCACTAATATAGATTTTAGTAGATTTAAAGATTTAAACAGGAATCTTAAATTTTATCAGAAAAATATAATATAAACTTTTATTGATTTTGAATAATTTAAATAGACTAATTAGGGACTGAACAGTGTGGAAGAAATTGTTATAGAGATCTGCATTCAGTATCTCCAGATTAAGATCTGGATATATTTTAATACCATCACGTAAAAATGTTGACTTATAGCTGGGTATAAATTAGATCTGCAAGAATAGTGATGCCCAATAAAAATGAACCTTTACCAAAAAATTGGTTTAACTTACCCCTTGGAACTAATTAAGAATCAACTCTGTAGAGCGCTATATCCAATAAATCAAAAATACCCTGATTAGCTTGATTTGTGTTCGGAAGGCACTGTGAATAGGAAGGCATAATTTATCAAAAACTAAGAACTATCATATTTTTTATAAATAAGAATTGCCGCCAGATCGTTAATGCTTTAGTAAAAGGCAATTGGGTAAGTATTTAATTGTGCCATTTATATAGTGCAGCGTACAATTCTGAACTCTCACCATTATTTAGCACCAAGCCTATTTTATGCAAGTTCGCTGATGATATTGATTATTTCAAAAGGGCTACTAGAAGCATCTTTAGATTATGAGTATAACTTTATTAGTAAATTTTAAAATCTTGGACAAAATTTATTAATATCAGCCTGGTCTTTGGGATCTTCCTATATGTGGTACTCCCAATATAAATCAAGTCATTTAGGTATCTTATGTATGTGCATTGAATACAATTTTATAGTATGATAATGATCACATTAGGGGTTTCTTTTTTTTTTAATGTAACTTACTAGATCTATTTATTCATTGAATATCAATGCTAATTCTAACCTATATCTTCAAAATTAAATACACATTTCTTTGCGCTTATAGATATTGATATAATTTGTTCTGTATGTTTCCAATAAGAATGATTGTTTAACCAAATCTTGATTTATTTATGATATATATTTGTGACCTTTATTTTCAATAGCATAAATACAGAAAAGTCTATATCGTTGAGTTTCTTTAAATTTGGCGTATTTATCTGAATCTAAAAATGAATTTTAGCACAAAAAAGAAATGCCGAGTCACTACACAATTGACTATGATTACAAGACAATTTCATTGGCATAATAGCGTAAACGATGATGATATTAGAAGTGGAAAAACTACAAATAGTTTAATATTATTTTTATTCATTATTGTACATTATTAAAATATAATTCTCATTATAATCTATTTCATAAGACAATGTAGAAGCTAATAAAAATTGCCAACCATTTGCTTATTTTCAAAAAACTGTTGAGGTAAAAAGTTCTAAAAAAGTTTTGCATATTAGAAATTTTCGTTTTAAAATCAAAAATTATAAGCACAAAACATCTATGTATTATCAAAAACCTGCAATTATGAGAATTTAGTTTTTGTAGAAAAGATGAAAATAGCTATTCACCTTTTTCATTTTTGGATTTTTCATTTTTGATTTTTTTTGATTTATTTTTGAGGCGTATTTCATTATGGAAATGACTACTGTCACGATTTGTTTGTGACAAACAAATAGTTTTTCATTTAATTATTATTATTAAATAAGATTTGAGAATAAAAGTAAAGGCAAATATTTGCCATTTTTAATTTTAATTGAACTTTATTGAATTGTAATTTATATCATAGTTTATTTTAAGCTACACTATGATAGTAGGGCAGTATAAGGGATACATTAGATAATGTGGCGAAGTGAAATTCTATTTAATCACTAACATTAATACTAAACTATCATTAAACATCACACTTCGACAGAATCTTCGAAGAGGTATAGTCAAACCTCCATAAATGCATCCTCTCAGGATCATAGTAAAAAAAAATTGAAATATGCATTTAAAAAGAGTGCGTTTATAAAGAGCCAATATTTAGAACTCTTATAAGATCAATTTAATAAAAAAAACTAGTAAAACTAATCAGGTGGTTTTATTCTTACATGGCAGATTTTGCATCAGCTCAGCTAAATATGCTAGAGCAATTATATGCAATTTCTTTGACAATTTTTCATGACAATTTCTTATGATAAAAATTAATAGATCAGCACTTGATTATCATCTTTCACCATGGAGCCATTTTCCTGCCGCTCTTGTGATTCTATTGCTATGTATTTATACCTTATAAATCTTGGACCAAATGCTGGATTTGAACCAATCAGCTCTAAAAGAGTTATATTTGCTGGTGAGAGTACAAGTGGTAATTTTGGTCTTTACTACTCTCTTAGTTTTAAGAGACACTAGATTACCTTTACCAGCAGGTGCAATTGCATTGGTGAGTATTTATCTCATATTTTGCTAAATCTTCATTATGTGAAACTATCAAGGAATTTTGACAATAGTATCGTGTTAGGTTTAGCTTATAGTCAATCAAAAGATATACTAACCCTGTTTTTATTAGTTATGCTGAGTTTTATGTTTATAAAATTAATATATACATTTTGTCCCTCCAATGTACTTAAAAAACTATCTCTATTATTCATATTTGTTGCAATTGTTGCATGCGATAGATGTGAATAGTATTTCAAATTGGTAGACATCATCATATCTAAAAGGCTCAGTACGTTTAATTTTGAGTTATGTTTCTGGTCTTACTATATAGTTGCCCGACTAGTACTGTAAACCAAATCCAAATAAGACAGTTTGTGATTTCTACCTAATTTGGGTTCAGGAGTTGACACTTTTCAAAATTCCAAATCCCAGACCTGTGCCTATTTATTTTTGCATATCCCAAACCTCAAGAATGGTTTACATTACTAGCCCTGACCAATTTGTCTATAGCATAGTGGTCTTTAAATCCGATTGGTCAATTACTGAAATGTATTGTCACATATATACTGCATATATCATCTGACTTTAACCAAATTGTTTGCTGTGAAAATGAATTGTACGAATACATATTCAGAAAACTACACCTTTCACTCTATATACTGTCAAAATAATCACAAAAACAGAAAAATAATTATAAGGGTTAGCTATAGAACTTTTTTTTTTTTAATTCAGTTGTTACTTATACTATATAAGAATCTAAAACATAGAAGTAGTTTTTTTATTTTTATTTTTGTAGTTAGATCTCTAGTAAGTGAGCTTGTTCTCAAGATTGATACTTGTTTAGATTATATTTATTAGATGAAGCCTATAAATTATAATATTAATGAAAGTCGAAACTGAGTTTAGCTTTTGTAATCTTAATTCCAATAAGTAGAACTAAAAAAATTTGTCAAAATATAGAAAGATAGACTTAAGTTTTGTATACTTTTTACTTGTGATTTTACTATTTTCTTTAATTTATTTACAGTAGATTAATTTAATTATTTTTGTTATTCTTTATTGTTAGCAACTTAGTTTTGATACAAGCTCTTTATAAACATATTTAATAGTCTTTTAAAATTTAGATGTCGATGTTTTTTTTAAAAATTTAATCGAATTATATATGACAATGGCTCTTAGACCAAAGTAATAAATTAAAAGATGCGATGGAGGAGTACCTTGAAGAAAATGAACCTGAATTTTACAAATTGAAGGAAGATAAAGATTGAAATACTTATTATGAAGCATATCTTGTGAGTCCTGTAAATGTTTTAATTATTTCGAATTATATCG